CTTTTCACCCAACACGGACACACACAGCACCCCCAACCGAAAACATCTTCCCGCGCCCCTGTATTATACATATACACGCTCAATGAAATTCATACAAATTGTAGGTAGAGGTAAAGAGGGAATGGCTTTTCCAGACAGGGACTCTAAAACAGCTGCTAAACAGGCTTAGTGTTTATAGCCTAAACATATAAAACACATGCTCAACTCTCTTTCAACCAACACATGATCTTTAATGCTTACATACTCGTATACTGTACAGGTGCATTAACTTTTTAAAATTCTCTGAGGAACAAGGTTTGATCCGATATTGTGGAAGTGCTTTACCTGATGTCTGCTACTATATGTGTGATTAGCGTAACGTTTGCTTAAAAAGTGGCTGTCAATCAATTTGGATCAGAGAGGACTGGGAAGAGGTCAAAGCATCAGGTCACCATGTGTTTGTAAGGGAGTTCCCTGCTGAGTAAACAGAGTTTCTAACAGCACTGAATGGCAGAGCAAAGGTAATGCTCTATTGTTGAGATGCCTTCCGGATTCGAGGCAAAGCGTGTTGTTAAACTAAAGGGACTGTAACCTACAGGGATTGCAAAACATTTCCACACAATACTTCAAGAAACACTTAACTCAACGCCAGACTGCAGGGGGCCAGTACAGCATATAGACCTTAAGAAGGGAAAGTCAACACAGCTGCACCCGATTCACACCACCTATAAATATAACCAACATCAAATATGGGAAAGTGGCTCTATAGGCTAAAAACACACGAGTCTGTCATTGTCTGCAATGAGATCATAACAAACGGTCATTCCAGACGTATTGAGCCTGAACAGCACTGACCTGTAAAACAGGGATTATGCATGCAAAGCACGCACATTTTTTTTTAACCAAACAATTATTGTATGCTGCACAAATAACTGATTATGTAACTTGAGACTACTGTGTGTTCTAACGCCATCAACATTCAAACATTTTCCTGTATTTTCGGCACAGATATTTGGGAAATCATTTGTTTATCTTTTCTGCTCATCTCTCTCTCTGCACCTGTGGTGCGGATGGTGTTGTTGTTGTGTAAGACACACACAGTGGCTCTCTTGCAGCGCTCTGATTGGTATTCCAGTGATCCACATGCTCGGTGGCGGAACTACTGGGGCCAGTTTGGCCCGGCTCACTGGATCTGTTTATATGGAAAGTGCCAAAACGATGGCCACCTGCAGCTTGTGGTTCTGTAGACAGCAAAACATTCACTGTTCTTCTATGATAAGTCAACTAAAGTTATGAAGTATGGATATGTGCATTGAGCATCGAGCCCAGGGTGATGCTGGATGTTTGGATCTGCAGAAGCTAAGGATGAAAGAAACATATTCTTTAAAATAATTTAAAATAATTAAGGAATTAAATTAAGTAATAAATTCTTTTATTCAGAATGGATGCATTACATTTATCAAAAATGGCAGTAAAAGCATTTTTAATGTTGCAAAAGAGAATTTCTGAAGGATCATCTGACACTGAAGAGTGTAGTAATGGCAACTAAAAGGTCAGCTTTGCTATCACAGCAATAAATTACATTTTAAAATATAATAAAAAACTATTATTTAAAATTATAATAATATTTCACAATATTACTGTTATGACTGTATTTTTGATCAAATAAACACAGCCTTGGTGAGCATATGACTATCCATTCAAAAACAAAAAATGATACTGCCCCTCAACGTCTAAACAAAAGAGAAGAAAACAAATAGCCTATGGGATGAAAAAGTGGGTTACCTTATCTGAATGTAATCTAGCCAGGTCATTTTTATGAGAGATATTTGGACGATAAAAACACTTGCACACTTGATTAAAAGCAATAAACAGAGTCAGTGACCATACACATTTAATGACTTTCTGCAACAGGTTATGAGCCGTCACTTTAATTAAACTGAGACTTATGAGTGTGTATTTATAAGATTGAATCTATACAAAATAAACACTTTAAAAGATGTTTGTGTACAATCTTTACTGAAAATGGTGTAAACAATTATTGGGCATTCTGTTTAAATCATTGTGAAGCAATAAGCATATTCCATAGATTCCAGAAATCATGTAAAGTGTTTCATCCTGTGGAATTCACCCAATGACACACAGCACTGTCAGAGATCAGGAAAGTGTCATGTTACCTCAGGATCAGTCATAATCAGTCAAACAGAATACTCTCAGAAGTGGAGAAGTGTGTTTTCTGGTTCATGCTGTTAGTAGGAAGTCTTCACTCCAGTTGCTCTGAACAACATACAGCTTCAGAAAACAAATGTGCTATGCTCTGTGTGAGAGATGCATGTTTGCTTCGGATCTCAAGGCAAGATGAGTATTCTGCTGTCTACGGATGTTTATCCTGATCACGTCTACATGCTGATGTGGCAAAAACAGTTTAATCACAGTAATCAGAACTGCACTTCCTCCCCAGACATGAGGGATAAATGTAAAGCAAGTTAAAAGAGGAAACCCTTATAATATCATACACACACACACACACACACACATAAATGACCACTGTAATTGTTCATAAACTTCTTTGCTTAAACTTGGTATGTCCCCTTAAGTCACTCAAGGTGTTTCAGAGAATTATTTTCCTAAAACACTTGCTTTTGTCATTACATCTCTAAACTCTTTCAGCGTTCCAGGCACTGGAGGGTACCGAAATGCCGGGATCATTTGTCCCTGTTTTGCTCATGACTGAGTAAACAGCTATTAGCTGGAGTGTTTATTTCAGTTGCATTACTCTGGCACACTGGAACTCAGCATTTGAGCCATCCATGTGAAGTTGCAGTCGTCTGGAGATTTGCTGCTTTAATCGTGGTACGGTTGCTAATCGGTATGGTGTGAAGAAAAACACAATGAGACGTGAATCCACATGTTCATTATATTGACAAAAACTATGTGTTTTGTGAACATTCTGTGAACATCTGCAAAGATATTTTATAACAGACTAGCTGAGGCTTTAATTCCATTCATCAAATGACATACATTTAACTTTTGATGGAATAACAAACCATAAATCAAGTTTCTGATCTTTCTAAAGAGCAGTGGCATGCTGTCCACATGATGACACCATAACATTGCTATTTGTCTGTTAAATCTTTCATCCTGGGATTCATTTCTCCCTAAGGAAACTTAGTCTAGGACAAATAATCTGTTTTGCACAGCCACCAGTGAGCCCAATGTAATCATAGCGTGAGCTATTCATTTCCACACAGAGCCCCCTGCTGGTTGATAACACAACTGCAGGCTAAATGTACCAATTTGGAAAATCAGCAAGAATAGACAAGAGTACTGAGATTAGTAATCGTGGT